GAGCTGTGGCGCGAGATGGGAGACATGCCGGAGGACGAGGTGGTAGGCGAGTGGCCAGAAGTGTACGACATGTTGCTGGAGGGAGGGGTGACGGCGGGGGTGCCGCTGCTGGAGTGGGACGGGGCGGTACTGAAAAGAGACACCACCTGCTGAGCGCCAGAAGCAGCATAGGGGTCGACGGCTGGGCGAGCGGCATAAGAAGGCGATGGGTGACGGAGATCAACAGGGGCATAGTGAGAGTTGGGAGACCCGGTGTTCTCATACACGGTGTGCTGCATCTGCTCGAGCATCTGGTCGATCTGGGTCAAGTCCTCCTTGGTGCGAAGGTTGGGCATGGGTGGCAGATAGTAGTGCTGGGTGAGAGGAGTGGCATGGGAACCACCACCCATGGCGAGGGTGTGGGGAGCCTGGGCCATGTACTCGGTCGCTACACCGCCGCCAGCCTGGAAGCCAAGACCATGGATGGGCATCAGCGAGCGGCCTACCTGCTGGTAGGAGCTGGGGTCAATCTGACGGCGCTTGAGGTTTCCGAAGAGCTCGTTCAAGTTATCCAGCTGGCGCTTCTCCCGGGGGTCGGCATAGGAAGAGGCATGGTGGCTCATGAAATCTCCGCGGGGAGCACCCATGTGCTGAGAGTAGTACATGGGGGGCCCAGCGTGATAAGATGGGTGCTGGGGAGCCGCGGGGTGCTGGCCGTAGTAACTAGGCTGACCATTCTGCTGGTGCGGGTGGCCAAAGGGGCCGGTGTTAGTACCGCGCATGTGGCCATTATGATCATAGAAAGCGGGGGGAGCTAGAGGCGGATTAGCCTCGAAACTTCTGGGAGAACGAAAACGTGTTTGTTCGAGTACGTCGAGTAGTCAACAAATAGGAGGGAGTAGCATATGTGTCACATACCTTTGGAGTTTGGGTGAGCACGGTAGGCGGGGTTCATGCCACCGGGCTGGTCCTGGGTTCTGCCGACCAGAACAGAGTCATCGGCATGAGTCTTGACGTGCTTCTTGAGATCCTGAGGGCGCTTGAACGACTTGCCGCAGAAGTCGCACTTGTGGGGCTTCAGGGGAACATGGACGCGGATGTGGGAAGTGATATGGTCTCTTTTCACAGTGGTTGTCCTACAAGCGTTCCACTGGCATGTGAGGTTGAGGTTGTTGGTGCTCTTGCGGCCGACGTGCTTCTCACAGATATGCTCCTGAAAAAGAGAATGTCAGCGATAGCTCTCGTTCACAGCAAGTGAACAAACAACTTACATAAAGGACCTCGGCAGACGTGAACCGTTCGTTGCACTCAGACCACCGGCACACAAGGCTCTCATCTTGGGCAGTGCTGCTGGATGAGCTGGCGGTGGGAGCGGTGGATGGCGCGGGAGTCGCGCCGTTGGAGGTAGAGCTGGACGACCCGGAGGAGGGCGCGGCGGCAGCAGCAGCCGGAGTGGCAGCAGCAGCAGTGGTGGTATCAGCAGCGGGTGCCGTTGGCGACACCTGTGTAGGTGAAATGCCCGAGGAGGACATGGCTGTCGAGATATCACGTGAAGTGCACGTGAAGAAGCTTAGGGTTGGTTTTTTGTTGTGGTCACGTGGGGTAGTCGAGAGAGACAAGCCCTAGCCCCACTCTTTTCAAAGGACGCCGAGAATGGACTGCTTGCGGTGGGAAGATGCCAAGACCGGGAGAAGCGTGTTGGCTGGGCAGAACTGGTCTTGTCGGGACGCGGTGTGCTTGATGGAATCAGACAACCCGCAACGGCAAATATGGACGAAACAGCGATGCTCGTTGCAAATGTTTTTGATTCTGCTCGTGGATGTGGCTCAAAGTTTGTTGCAGAGAGGAAAATGCTTCAGTATTGGATTCAGGAGAACAGCGGGCCATTATGTCCTTTATTACAGCTTTTTGCCCTCATGGCAATACATGGCGGAAACTCTTGGCAAAACTCTCTTGGCCTCCTTGGCCCGCTTGGCAAGTCGGCGCCTCGGATGCCAAGCTCACATCATTGGCTGATGGTGGCAGCGTCGGCCCGCCCGTCGTACCTGCTGCACTCTGCTGTTGAGGCAACCGCCAGTGCTGCGCCCCGACCCCCTAACAAACCCTAACAGCACTACTTTGCCGCCAAGGACAGCCAAGACGACGCCAAGGCTTGGTATTTGCGAGGAATCCCTTGGCGTCCGTTTGTTGCCTCCCTCCACGAGAGTCACACGCTTTACGCTTTGCCCACATCTCCAGCACTTATGCAACCCCAACCCCTGACAGCTGCCATCTTCGATCGCGATAACTGGCAAGGAAGTTCATCGTTCCACTCTGGCAGCTGTGTTGTTGCGGGTCATCCATGTTGGGCATCATTCTTAATTCTGGATGGGCGATTGTTTGGTTTTTGCGGCTGCTTGCCGATTGATAACGCTATCAAACCACTTCTGATCACAACAGCACCACTGCACACAAAAGCAGCTGCCAAGGCCAAGAGATCATTCTCCGCGTGCCAAGCCCTTGGCGACCCCGACTTTCTTTGATACCGTTTTGCCTGGGCGATTACCATCAGTTTGGGTCAACAAGAGCCAACCTGCGCGCTGCTTTCTCGAAGCGAGCAGAAAACGTTGGTTTCAAAGCGGCGGTTCAGCGTCCGCTAAACTAAAAAAACCAGGAAAAAAAATCAATAAGCCGCTACCTGAGCTGCGTGCCAAACAGCACGTGCTACACCATCTCCACGTTTGTCGTCCGTTATGTTGAGCGACCCCGCGCATTGGGTCCCCATCCCAGGCGAGATGAAGTGGGGAGAGAGGTGAGTTGCACCCCACAGCCTCGTTGATTGGATCACCCAACCTCAACCAGACTTTTGCGCTCCTGTGGGGTTCTGAGGATTATCAACAACTCCTTTCCAGTCACTTTGATTTTTCCGGCAGAAACAGACGTCTCCAATTATCGAACACGGCACACGCTCCGTCAAAGCAACCACATCGCACACCTACGATACATCATCTTTGATCTTGGCGATTCTCCTCGGCAGCTTGTACTTCCTTCTTGGCAACTCTTGGTCTCTCTACCGCTCGCCGAGCCATGCCCAGCAATTGCCCAGACGTGCCCAGCCACGCCGAGGATGCCGAGAGGTGGTTCGCAATTCTTGGCTGGATTTCCTACGGTCTGCTGCCCCCTTTCCTCCCCCCTTTCACCCGCATCGGTTGCGCGGTTGATTTTTCCAAGATTGCCCAAGCTATTTTTCTCTCTGGTTCAAACCCTCCAACGGGGCCAAGATATCCGTGGCCTTCTCTGCGGATTCCTTGACTTCTTGGGTCCTCTCGGGATCCCGGGACAAGCGGTGGCCCGTTTCCTCGTGGGATTCTCTTGGAAAGCTTGGTATCAACAATGAAAGGTGAGATGACGTCGGGTGTAGTGTAACAATAACATCAACAATTCGATCAGCGACAACAGATGGAGGTGAGGATATCGACATCGACGACCACGTCCAACACCATTGCTGTTGTCACCAGGGATTTCACGCCCCCGCTTATTTTCCCCAGTGAAGTTCTTTGCAATCAAGAAAAATGGGCCAGAAAGATATCTCGACGCATGTAAACAAATCCGCGCATAAAATCCACGTGTGAACATCCGAATCGCTATCACAAGCCGAAAAAACATCAACACGTGCTCGCCGACACCGGTTGGCTGATCCGAAATCAGAGCAAGGCTATCCCAGAGATACTCGGTCTCGACATTGAGGTGGAGATGTCGACAACATTGTCTTGAAATCGATAATGAGTTCATTAATACCTGCGCAGTCTAGACTCAAGGTCATTCGTTTACTCAAGGGAGTTCCTGGCTTGGGGTTGAAGACATGGCAGGTTACCCTAGGTACCTCCTGGTTCATCTTCCTAGGTATACAGGATCGGTAACAAGACCATCGATCATTCATCGTTTCAAGTCTGTAGGGAGAGGTAGAATGCACAATGAAGATCACTTCGGCGCGATCTTTTTGTCATCGGACACAGCTAGGATATCCCGTTCAAGCACTATCTTCCTCAAAACCTACTCAAGATCTCAGACAGCCAACGCACCATGCACCTGTGTGTGGTTACTCCTACCTTCCAGTAAATGAATCAAGGAAATATATGTGCAGTCAGCATACCCAGAAGTTGAGAGGCGTCGTTCCCCTCGGTGCAGCCGAAGTCTTGCTGAGCTTGAAGCCGAGTGTCAGGACTGAAAAAGCCAGGAGAGTAGGTGCATTACTTTTCCATCGCCCCATCCCCCTCTCCCCAATACCCTCTTCCCAAAGCTACCCACCTGAACGAAATTCCCACAAGCTTATCACCCAACATAAAGCCTACGTACCTATCTCCGGAGAACACCTGCTGCTAACCACCCACCCCAACACCTTAACCCCCCCGCCCCTTTTCCTCATGATATACACCTCCAAACATCCTCCGACAGATTTATTCCCCATAGCCACCTGCAACTATTACCCGGTTGTTATCTGATCGTACGAGCTTCACTGCCAACCACTGCTTCAAGGTAGACAAGCTCGGCCGAGATAATAAACACCTACCCACTGCCACCTTCTTGCAATATAGTGCTTGGAAGCGGTTGTAAACAATCCTGGTAGGTAACTCGGAAAAGTGTTTTGAAGTCATGATGGATAGGCGTTCAAGTCTCGACTACCTAGACATGTAAGGACCATCAAGTAAACCTGTTTCTATTTTGCAGGAACTCTGCCATCAATGCTATTTTCAAGAGACCTCCCACAATCGGCAGTGGGTGTGATACTATCTTCAGCAGGCCTTTTTCACCGTAGGAGATCATCGAATCGAGTCCCGAGGCGTATAGTGACACCCGTGAGACGGCAAAAAGGCTTCAGTTGACCTGCCCCTAATCGAGAAAAGCCCTACTAATTGCAAGACACACCGTCAAAATCACAAACGCGCATACTGGCGCAAGATTTCTCAATCAAGTATGCAGCTCGCTGGCTGTTTCGCATTGCGCTTCTCCCTCCGAGATCTGAAAACGGGTATACTCCCTATCTAAGCATGCAATGTCTCTTTTCCCCTCTGCCAATCATCAACCCCACCGCTCTGCACCGGCGCATAAGTCGAAAAATTCATCTCAAACTGCGCAGGTCTAACCGGGCGACCACCGTCAGAATCCTCACCACCACTCGTCCAACCCTCCTTCTCAACCAGTTCGGCAAAAGGAACATGATGCTGAGCAATCCGAGGCACCTGGACGCCCTCTCCGCGAGCTCTTCTCAAACTCTCCTCACGCTGCTTGGCCGCCAAACCGATCATGGCCTGCAAGGTGTAAACGGCGTCATTGCCAGCATTGTGCAGGTTCTTCGTCTGGATCCCCAAGAACTCGCAGACAGTGCTCACGCTGGGCTGCTTGTTGCTGCGGACGGCATACTGGTACATATGCTTGGTGTCGATAATCTCGAGAACGTTCTGGGCCTTGTAGATGTTGTACTTGATCGCCTCGAGAAACTTGATATCAGAACCAGACTCGTGGAAGACCAGCACAACCGGGTAAGGGCTGTTGTCAATGATGGTTTCCATGGTCTCGGGCACATGTTTACCCTGAACAACCTCGGTTTCACTGTTCGCGCTGTTAGGGTGTTCCTCGTTTGTGATTAAAGAGAGTGAGCAGAACTTACCCAAAGTCAAAGTTCTCAGGGCAACCCTTGACGTATTTTTTGTTCTGAGCCCAAGTGTACTCCGCTACCCAGAAGTGGCGAGCTTCAATGGCCTCGAACCAACTCTGGCCGTTTTCACCTGGGGCCATGTCCTTGAGATTGGGTGTGTCCAGAATGGCGACGCCAACCTCGGTGATGATGTTCGGATTTTTCTCCCAGGCTTCAACATCGATGCACACAAACCTCACCGCGGAGGGCTGGCCAGTGGCTTCAGCTGTCTTGTGCTCGCGGAGACCAAGGTAGCACTGTGTGCGCTTCAATCCGTGACCCCAAGCAAGGTGGGCTTCAAAGCGCTTGTACGCGTTCTTCTTGGCCTTTTCAGTCTTCTTGTGGGAGTTGGAAATCATCTTCAAGACAGAGATGAGCTTCGCCTGCCCCTCCTCGGTTCCTTGCTGGATATCGTCCTCGGGCTTCGGGCGGGGAACAAGACCACAGAGGTCCTTGAATTCATCGGCACTGTGGGTGCGGCCAAGAAAACGAGGTCGAGGCGTGTTGCCATCGCCAAAAACCAGTCTGAACTTGGCTTCGTTCTTGCCGGGGGGGATGGTAAGGTTGATTTCCAACCGAGCATTGATCGTGTCCAACATATGCTGGAACTGGTAGGTGGGCACAAACAGGCCAGGCTTGGGATGGATCGTCTTGGGCTGGTGAAGGTAATAACTATTGTCAAATCTGTCAGCCCCGGTCGATTTGCCATCCCACAAGATCAAAACTTGCATATCCCAGACCCGGTTCTTGTGAAGTCCTTCGATGGTAAACATTTCCTTGGCCTACACTCGTTAGTCAATCAAACACGGTCAAGTGATGATGAAAATCCCAACCCACACGCTCCCCATTACGTTTGCCAACAAACATCTCAGGATAACCGCGGACCATCTTCCACGAAACAAACTCGGTGCCCTCCGGAGAGAGATCGCCTCTCTCGAGACCCGTCTCCTTCCACATCAGGCCTTCCTTCTCAAGTTTCTCGGGGTTGAGCTTGAATTCGGGCATGTCCTCAAGAATGGCTCTCGCCTTGCTGGTCTTGTCCTTTTTGATCAGTTGCGAGGCAATCTCCAGGTTGAGCCGGTGCGGTGAGGTGGAGTCCTTGACCTCAAGATTCCTAATATTGAAGATCATGCCACCAGTCGAGTCGTCAGAGTCGTATTGATCGTAGTCATAAGTCATCTCTGTTTGAGTAAAAACCATCAGTATAACCTTTCAGCCACATCAAGATAAAAGTTTGCTCACGCTCGATCGTCTCCTCATCCACACTCCGCCAGAAAGAAGGATCGAGGCCCTTGAACAAATCGGGCTCGCCAGTGGCGGCCACCAACTGCTCAATGAAGGCCTCGTCGGCCTCGCGCTCCTCGGCAGGTAACATGTTGTTGGTGGACATCATGTACCTGTCCACGGGGTCCTTGGTCTTCCCCTCGTTCACCGAGGAAACGTCGCTCTCCGACGTGGTCCAGTCCTCAAACTCTGGCTCGCTGGTCAGCAAAAAGATCCCGTCAAAGTCTGGCTCGCTCGCGGACAGCCTCACCGGCTGGAACCGGACAAGCCGGGAGCGCAAGCGACTCTCCGTCGCCGGCACGCGCGGGATCTCTCGTCCCAGCGCTTCTCTGCGCCGCGTCAGCGGCCGTGGCGTTTTCTTGGGCTCGCTCGCCCGCGAGGGCGGCGGCCCACGCAAACCAGGGGGTGCCGAAAGAAAAGTCCATATTTGGCAATTTCTTTACCAAATTGCTTTTCGGTCTCTAGGGAAAAGAGAAAAGAGGGAAAAGCTTACCAGTCGTGAATCTACGCTGCAAATACTCGCAGCCTGGATTTCGTGGGGACGGCGACTAAGCGGCAAGGGCAATGATGTCGTCGATGACGGGGGTGGGTGCTCAAGACTAAGCAAGCCTGGTGCTTGATGATGTCGTCGTGGACGAGGGGTAGGTGGGTGGCAGACGACGACTAATCGCTTAGTCGTTCCTCAAAGTCGGTTGTGCGAGGGAGAGAGTTCTCGGGAAGGAAGGAAGCAAGGAGCGCAGTGAATGTGGGTGGAAAAGGAGACAAAACTGGGCATCAAGAGCAAGCAAACGGACAAACACTTGGCAGAAACAGTATGAGAGTCAAAGACAAGCAAACCATGGGTTAGACTAACATGAGCTTGTTCCCTTCACACGTTTCGGGCGAGATTGTTTACCTTCAAGAGAGTTGGCCAAGGGGTGATGATGAAAGTAAATATGAGGCTCATTCCTTAGTATGACTGGGCATGCATTGGTGGAGCCCAACGGCCTGCATGGCTCACCCAGGCTCACCATCGCTGTCTGCTGGAAGCACACCAGGCATCCAAGCCATTTATTCTGGTGCACAAAACAGTTCTCATGTACAATATTAACCAGTAACTCTGCCTGTCGTGTTACCTCAAAAACTCAGGTCATGGGGGGAACCTCAGGCAAGTATTGCAAAGGATTTCCCAAGAGAGCGAATATGAGTGCTCAAAGAATGTGATGAAAGTCATCCTCAGAATCCCAGTGCTATTTTCAATGCTTTAAACTATCTCTACCCCCCAGCACTCTCGTTCCCCAAATCTGGTATTTTAAATCTCCCCTTTTTGA